CGAGCGGCGAGCTACTGAAAAGCTGCCCGTGAGCTACCGGTAGCTTGCGCTCGACGTGTTGGAGACCCCTGATGTAGATGAACTGGTTTCTGTCGGAGAGGTATGATGTGAACCAAGAGAGGGCAGTGCTGGTGATGTTGAAGGTGGTTTCAAGACGGGTGAGGAGGATGGAGTGATTGATGGTGTCGAAGGCAGCGCTGAGGTCAAGGAGGATGAGGATGTTGAGGTTACCGGCGTTGGAGGAGAGGAGAAGGTCCTTTGTGATTTTGAGGAGTTATAGAACTCTTTTAGGGGTACTCAAAGACACTTTACATGCTAAAATCCATTAAAACAACACACTTAAAATGTATAAAACCATAACTACAAATTAAAAGCAGTTTTGAAAAAGGTGAGTTTTGATTTTACATTTAAATGGAGACAAATTGGTGCAGTCACAGATGTGTTCGGGGGGAGGTTGGGGGCAGTGATGGAAAAGGCTCTGTCCCCCCCCGGGTCCGGTGCTTGGTCCTTCAAGGTGGAACCAGGAGGCTGGCGTCTGAGGAGCGGAGGGTGCAGGAAGGAGTTTGGTGTGGGGCAGGTTGGTGAGGTAGGAGGTTATGGAAGGCTTTGTAGGTGAGGGGGAGGATTTTGAAATGGATCCATTGGGGGGGTGATGTGGTCACTGGAGCAGGTGAGGAGATGTACTGGATTTGTTTTGAGGAGTTTGGATGGTGTACCGTTAAGGATACTGGTGCAGTCATTTTGTAATGAGATGAAAGCATGGTTAAGTGTTTCTGCAGCAGAGAAGGAGAGTGATTTTGAGGTGGAAAGATTCAGTTTTAGTGACCTGTTTGATCAGTTGTCATTGTTTAAAAATATTTTTTCTCTAAATGACAATGTGTATTCGAAACTTGTTTGAAATTCAGTAGTCATATTGTTTTTGGTGAGGGATTTGGGACTGATGATGACCATGTCTGATTTTTCACAGTTGACTTTAAGGAAGTTGCATTGCATCAAGGATTGTATTTCATGGAGGCGGTTGGTGAGAGTGGAGAGGGTTGCAGTGGAGAAGGAGAGTGTGAAAATGTAGGGCGGGACATCGTCGGCGTGGAAGTGGAGTGACTGAAGTGTTTTAAGGTTTGGTTCAGATTCAACATAGTCACACAGGAACACAACAAACTAAAAGAGCGAGGCAGCTGTAGCCCAGTTACTCCAGCGTACTGAGTGGTAAAATGCTTAAAAAAAATTAAGAGACCTTTTGAAACTATTTTTAGTTTGTCAGTACCCGTGTCTGGGCCCATAGAGCGGGCGTGCTTAGAGCCTCCGATCTCCCACTCTTAGCTCAGTAAAAGAAAATAACTCTGGATTCAGCTCTGTACTGGGTAGTTGATTTACAGACCTCTCTTTCCCAATGTAAGTCAATGAGAAACGTTTTTTTGGCCCTTCAGTCACATAAGTTGTAGTCCTGCCGTTTGGCCACTATTAACCTTTTCGTCGACGTCCGACCTAAATCTCCAGACCTTTATGTCATTGAAATCAAGAAACCTGCGTGCAGGACTGGAATGTAACCTTGATAAAACTCCAGCGCTGCATTGAGGAACCAGTTGTACCTGTCAGCACAGTGAAAGGCTCGGCTGCTGTAATTAAATGTCCTCAATCGGTTGAGGAGTGGCATTTAATGATGAAAGGCTCCTGTGTGTGATCGAGATAAAGACTGTTGAATACAAACCAAAAGAGAAACAAGCAGCTTGAATATTTTTGCTAGGAGTGGCATCGATTTAACAAACAGCAACAAGACAGACTGGTACTGAGGATGCCAGGTCACATGAAAGCTGTCATTGTAAAACAGCGCTATTCCACCAAACATTGTTTTCCTTTGTTAAAAACATTTCAAAAGTGTGGTTCAAACGAATACAAACTTATTTTCTTTGCATTATTGGGGGTCTGAAAAAACACTGCGTTTTTTTGTTATTTGGACCAGTTGTCATTGTTTTACAATTAATTATCTAAATGGCTTTGTATTTAAAACTTGTTTAAAAATGTTGTCAGTAGATATTGAATAAAACTTAAATATTTATTTTACTCAAACTCATTTTTTTGTGAGTACACCTTAAACCTGCGTGTTTTCAAAGCAAGTTCAACCACCTTATGTCACCGTGTGATTACCTGAGTGATTTACCTTGGCCAGATTGAAATCTTTAGTGGCGACAGTTTCTGCTTTTCTCATCTCCATCTCAATGCCCTCAAGCTGCAGAGCTTTTTTCTCCATGTAGGTTCTACTGACGTCATAGCGCTGCTCTGAAAAACAGCAGTGAAGAAGAACAAAGGTCACGTTTCATGCATGGGAACTGATTCTAGTAGTTCATTCATTGGTGTGTTTGCATCTTATAATTTAAATAAACAGAATTTAACTTCACTGTGCATTATTTAATTGTACTCTCTGTTGTTGTGTATCTGTATATAGACTCTTGCATTTACTTGTTTACTTTTCTGCAACATTTAGCTTATTGTATTTTTTGTATTATTATTATTCATATAGTTTACTTCATCTACATTACTGCACATTGGTCGGCTATTTTATTCTCTCTATTTGTTTCTTTCTGCAATATTTATTGTTTTATTTCTTATATTTGCAGTGCATTGTAGGAGGAGCGTGGGAATTAAAGGTCACCTATTATGCAAAATTCCCTTTTTCATGTCTTCTATACATCAACATGTGTCCCCTCTGTGTAAAGAGACTCTGAAAGTTTCAGGAAAAAAGATGATCTCTCTTTTTTATCCTGATCCATTTATATAAAAACCTGTCTGAAAATGAGCTGATCAGATTTTTGCCACTTTATGATGTCATAACGATTTTTTGGCTTGTGTAACCATTAGCCAATCACCAACCAAGTTAA